AGTCAACCCAAGAAAGGCCCATGGCCCCGATAACATACCCGGGTGGGTCTATGAGGAGACTGCAGATTAGCTGGGTGGTGTCCTCACAGACATTTCTAACACCTCGCTGGACCAATCTATATGCCTGTCGCATATCATGTCTCAGTGCTTTGAAAGACCGGTTGAAGAACACATCATCTACAGTCTTCCCCCAACATTTGACCCTTTCCAGTTTGCCTGCACACGACACCGCTCCACTGAGGATGCCATCTCCTCTGCTCTTCACCTGAGCCTGGCACACCTGGAGGAGAAGAACACCCACGTGCGGATGCTGTTTCTGGACTTCGGTTCAGCTTCACCATCATCCCACAGCATCTGATCGGGAAACTGGGACAGATAGACTTAAATACACCCCTCTGCAATTGGCTCTTAGACTTCCTCAGAAACAGACCTGAGTCAGTAAGGGTCAGACAAAACACCTCAGATGGCATCACCCTAAGCACAGGGCCCCCTAAGGACTGTGTCCTGAGCCCCTTGCTGTTGTTCACACTGATGACACTCAATTCCATCCCCAGGTTCACCATCTATCTCAACATGAAGTTTGCAGACGACACCATGGTAGTGGGGCCTCATCAGAGAAAACAACGACCAGGACTACAGAGAGGAGGTGGAGCAGCTGGTGCAGAGATAACAGCCTTTTCCGTAATGGGGAGAAAATGAAGGAGAGCTTTTTCGACTTTAGGAAGAACGCTCCACTGCTCACCAAAAGCTCAGCAGTAGAGGTGGTCAGCAACACCAAATTCCTGGGGGTGCACATCACAGACAACCTCACCAGTCAATAGGGCACAAAAGCGCATGTACTCCCTGCAGAGGATGAGCATAGCCCACCTGCCCCCACCCATCCTCACACCCTTCTACAGAAGCACCATAGAGAGCGGTCTGACCAGCTGTCTCACTGTGTGGTCTGGAGGCTGCAGCTCCCCAGACTGGTAGAAGGTTAAAAGAGTAGTGAGAACAGCAGAGAAGATAATCTGGGCTCCTCTTCCTTCCATAAAAGACATTTCAGCCCAGTGCTGCGTGTCCAGAGCCCATAACATTATCAATGACCCCTCATACCCCCACCATGGACTGTTCTCCCTGCTGCCCTCTGAGAAGAGGCTTCGAAGCATCCGTTGCAGGTCCAGCAGATTCCGAAACAGCTTCAGACAGCTGAACTGTTGAAAAAACTCTAAACCATATCACAGACTCTGCATCAAAATGACAACACCAAACCAAAACACTGCATATTTACACAATATATATTTAATGATTTGAACTTCCCCATGACAAACAAATAACTGTCAAAGAAGGATTCCTCTAAACCAACCTGGATGGATTCAAGAATCCTCAGAAATTCAACAGTGACATCAGGCGCCAACCAGTTTCTTCTGAAAATCTCAAAGTTTGTCCTCAAACTCATTCCAGAAGTTCCAGCTGCTGTGTCTGGTGAATCTGGCAGTGTCATATTTTAATGCACCTCATTTTGGGAAATTCACACCTATTTTACATACCAAATGGAAAAGCAAATAACTTAGGAACTGTAAGCCCAAATTACATATGTGATACATTATTTGTAAGCTAACACCTTCTAGCTTCTGAATATATTCATGACAATTGGGAAAGTAAAACACAGCCCAAGCTGCATCAGTTCAAACATGACTCAAAGTTGTTTTTTTCAATTCTCAAAAATAATAGGTATTTTTTTTTAACAGTAGTAATAAAGACATGCTTACTTGTTGTCGCTGCTCTGTCATGCTACATTTTGACATGCTGCTATATCTGTGTTAATTGTGCTTTGGTTCTCGCTATGTCCATGAACTAGGTGGTTGAATTTTGGAGAATCTAAGCTTTCCAGCAATGTCTAATTGGTAAACATTTTTCCAGTGTAATTTTCATGCATCCTGAGTTATTATTTGTAAACACACAAAACGGGTCATGCAATTGGTTTTGAGAGGTTAAACATCAATTGTTGCATCTGGTTGAAATCTGGGCCTTCCATTTTTGTGGTCATTACAATTACCTACTCATCTTGAAGGTTGCACAGCGTTTAAGGAAACAAACAGTAGCTGTATTCTACCTAACAGCTGGATTGACAGTACAACCTCCAACACAAAGCTCAAGCAAACTCCTTCTGGAATATGTAAAAAAACATTGATCATATTTTTTTGTTAAGCTATACTGCCCAGGTCTAGCTAAAGAAAAAAAAGTCAGGGCTGCAAGGGCTCACTCAGTTGGCAGTTTAAAAGGGGAAACAATAGGCCGTTCTTGGCTACGTTGAGCCAGCTGCCTTCACGCCTGTGTGTATTACTGGGATGAACCAGGGTACTCTTGCCTTGCCCAGTCATTGATGAAGGGTCGGGCAGGCAGGTGCAGTCGTCTATTAATCTTTCATCATGATGACAGCTTTTCACAGGATTTCCCTGTTAATCCAATAACAGAGGCAATGACCTCTCAACGGTACAACCAGCCTGGGACACAATTATGAAACTCAACAAGATGATAAGTGCTGCAGGCTTTAAGTAAGAAGTGGTCTACAGGCTTCGACCTGCCAAACGAAGCGCCACAAGGTTCCCAATGTTCCCAGTGTCAGCTGTGGTGTCATCCTTGGAGCAGCATTGACTGTAGAAGAGGCCAAGTGTTGGCTCGTGGCTGTATTGATTACCTTGCTGACCTCAGAGCTGCAAGGTATGCTGGGACTTGTAATTGCAGCTTGATTATGACATTTCTGTTATGAAACCAATTTATCCCAACTCAGCCAGAGTAGGTCCAGTGTAAAGGCATTCTACCCTCTATTATAAAACGTTTCTGTTTTATTCAGAAATACAGCAATGTTCATTTAAGGCTACCAGATAAAATCCTTTCCTTCTAATTTAACCCAAAGGTACACATCATCTGTGTACTGACTTTAAAAAACCTACCTAACCTTTCCATATGGAAGACTGGTTTGGTTCTGGGGATGGCTCTGGAATCCCTGGAGATGTGTGGGAAAGAAAAATTATAAAATTAGGAACATTACAGAGTTGTCCAGACCAAGATCTATATCATCAACGTCTACCTAAATGTAAAGAAATTGAATTGTAGAATAAATAGACATTTAGATACTCTCAGAACCTGCAGTTTTACGGGTTTGAAGAATGTCTAAATGTGACCTATAGATGTCAAAACTACTTAGAGATGCGTCAGCCTATCGCATGAGTGGCTGTGATGGGTTTGATTTGACAAAACAAACTGAGCTGTGCTGGAAAACTTAATGTTGTGATATAAAACATGAAGTTTAATTTTCTGTGATGATTGAAAGAACAGAACCTGAGTGCTTAAAGTTGGCTTTAATTAGCAAATTTCCTCTCCTGCAGCTTGGCTTGATTTGTGAAGTGAGACTGCAGAGTTGCTCGGCGTTAAAATCTAATTGGAATAATTAGAGAGTTTATGGCAAGCAGTTAATTGCCCACTGAGCGAGCTCCCAGGAGTCTGGGCGGTTTCCTGTAACACTCCGTCCTTATGCTGCTGATTGAGGTGGAAGCTGGGAGCTAATGGAGCCACAGAAGCTAATTTATGACCACATTAACACAGAGGAGGGAGCGCGGCAGGGTGGGGTGGGGTGGGGGGTTAAGATGGTGGAGGTGGGGGGCTCTTGTCAGGCAATATCCGAAGAGAAGCAGGAAGAAGACAGATGATGAGTTTATCTTTCTGTATTGTTAAAGCCTGGAAAAGGCACTTCCAAAAACTAACTAGGTTTTAAACTATCTGATCTGCTGGAGCACATCAATGGCATCTAGGGGCCCAGGACAAAAATATATCAAGGACCCCCTTGTATTCCCTGTATCAGTAAGGCTCAATCAATCTTTCTGAAGCAGTACAAGTGGCATTAATCATCTTATTTCTATAAATATATATTTATTTAAATAGTTTAATTAAATAAGAATATCTATATTATTTACCTGCAAAAGAATAATTTTCGTCTTGTTACAGATAGGAAAATGTTTTCCTCAACTTCTCAAAGTGGAATGTCAATCTTGTAGTGACCTCATAGATTGTCAGTTCCAGAGGTTTTAGGGGCTGGCTAATGGTTAATTAAAGTTTTCTCTGTAAATTGACATGACATTTTCACCAGATGGCGGTAACAATCCATGCAATCCACACATACAAAGAAATGAAATCATAGATGTCCAGAAAATAAGTTATGCGTAATGAAGTGAAATGCCACATAAAGTATTGAAAACACAAACTCAAATGTCTTTAACATTTTGTACAACAAATTGATGGCAGTGATGGCATCAGGAAGCCTCCTGTATGGAGAAATTAGTAGCATGCATTGCTTAGGTGTGATTTTGGCCCACTCACAAACAGTCTTTAAATCTTAAAGGTGTCATGGGCCTCTTCTAAAAAACCTGATCTTTTGTTCTTTCCATAGCTTTCTATTGGATTCAAGTTAGGTGATTGGCTGGGCTATTTAATGAGCTTTATTTTATTTGTCTGAAACCAATTGAGACTATCCTTGGCAGTGTGTTTGGGTCATTGTCTTGCTGAAATGTCCAACAGCATTTCTCCTTTATTATTCTGATGCGTGCAGTTTGGATTATGTACATGGAAACCGCTAACATCTCCTTCCAAGAACAGTAGCGGAAAAACCCCAAGAGGTGACCGGGCCAGAAGCTGCTGTTGAAGGGGATTTCCAGTGAAACCAAAAATGAAGCATCAGGGACTTTTTTGCTGCTCCAATCACATTAGGTGTGAATATAGCATCACGATATTTGATTCAGCAGCTGCAGTAGCCCCGTCGATTGCTTTGCAGTAATCCCTCTGAATCAAGCATGTGGTGACAGTTGTCGATTGATTGCAGGTTGACTAAAAGTTGTGTTTGAACTTGGTCCACACTTTATCAGAAAACAAAATAAAAAATAGTAATAATAAAACTTTAGATGAGATTGTGATTAGGGAAAAAAAATCCACTGACCTGTTTCTGTCTTTCTGTTTTATTTCAGAGTCTTTAAGAAGGCCAGTCCAAACGGAAAGGTGAGTTTCTTTTTTTTTTTACTTTGTTTCTATTATTTCCTATCTGCTTTATTTTCTCTCTATTTCTTTTTCTATTCCTTTTATTCTTATCCCCTTTCTCACTTCCTTTTCCACCTCCATGTCCATTGCAAAATGTTTTTTTTTTTTTTTTTTTACCAAAGCTGCTTCTTCTGAAGTTATACAGATAATTACTGTTAGGCTCAAAACAAAAGGACCCAGTAATTCTAGGTGGAAAGACAGTTAGGTTTAACCAAACATTTATTTATAATAATAATAATAATGAATTTTATTTGTAAGGCACTATACATTTGAATTCAAATCTCAAAGTGCTACAGTTCAAAAAGGGAAACTGAAACCAAGGTTAAAAGACCATAACATTAAAAACAGAGTAAAAGACAATCATTAATATCAATACATTCAAAGGCATAAGTAGCTTATAAAAAAAAATCTAAAAATCTGCAATTGTAAGCATTTCTAAAAAGGAAAGTTTTCAATCCTTTCTTAAAACAATCCACTGTCTGTGGGGCCCTAAGGTGGTCTGGGAGGGCATTCCACAGACGTGGAGCTGCGGCTTCGAAGGCCCTATCGCCCACTGTTTTTAGCCGTGTCCTGGGTGGGGCCAGAGGGTGCTGTTGGCCTGACCGGGTCCGGGAAGAGGTATGTGGCGTGAGCAGTTTAGTGAGATAGGTGGGGGCCACACCGTCCACACAGTGATGGGTGTGCAGAAGAATCTTGTACTCTATACGGGCATGAATAGGGAGCCAGTGCAAAATGTGAAGGATGGGAGTGATGTGCTGGTGTTTCCTTACCCTCATCAGGACCCTGGGAGCGCTGTTCTGTACGTACTGGAGCTTCTGAAGGCTCCTGCCAGAGAACGTTGCAGTAACCCAGCCTGGAGAAGACAAAGGCATGGACGGGCTTCTCTGCAGCAGGGAGGGATTGGGAGAGGCGGGGTTTTGAAATATTACGGAGGTGAAAGAAGGAAGTTTTTCAGATAGAGGTGACATGATTGTCAAAGGAGAGGTGGGGGTCAAGCTTGACCCCAAGGCTTGTAACAGAGGGAGACAGGGAAATGGTATGACCACAGAATGAAACAGAGGTGAGAGGAACACTGCTGCGAACAGAGCTGCTGAGAACACTGTCTGCATCTGAGGCAGGAACCTCTGATCGCAGGTTAGTGGGGGAGGATAATTATGAACATGAACGTCACTAACTTGGTCTTAAAGTTCAGTCCATGCCCAGAGGATAAGATTTGTTCCAGCTGGTCGGCTGCCAATAAGACGTGACGGGTCCTGCCCAGAGAGTCCTAGACGCTTAAAGGAATAGTACACCCAAAACATGATTAGCCTTCATTTTCTACTCACCCCCATGCTGAACAACACTCTGGAGTACTTTTTTGATATCTCAAATGCATCTGGAGATCTGGGAGGCTTCTTGCTGTCTGCTGACATTCAAATAATGGAGGTCTATGGTGACCGAGACAGAAAGGTCCATAAAAGTCCACAAAAACGTGTCAATATTCCTCCATACTGCTCGTCCAATGTAATCCAAGTGTCCTGAGTGGGTAGCATCCAGAATTTACTCGAAACGAAGTCATTTAGAACGTTTTAGAGCCTAAACAGTAGTGTATAGGATTTCCTAATAGCGCCCCCATGCGCGCTCACGATTCTACAGAAGCCGGCAGACCAAACCGGAAGAAAGTGCGCATTCAGCGTCTGCTCTGCAGATAATGCAAGCGTAGAAGAAGAAATGTGCTGTTTACCTGTGCAAAGAAAGAAACAACGAAAGAAAAATGTCTGAGGACTTCAGTGTTGAGGAAGAGCATGAGTTCTTTGCCGAGCTGAATGCGCTGGTTTGGTCTGCCGGCTTCCATAGAATCGTGAGCGCGCATGGGGGCGCTATTAGGAAATCCTATACACTACTGTTTATGCGCTAAAACGTTCTAAATCACTTCGTTTCGAGTAAATTCTGGATGCTACCCACTCAGGACACTTGGATTACATTGGACGAGCAGTATGGAGGAATATTGACACGTTTTTGTGGACTTTTATGGACCTTTCTGTCTCGGGCGCCATAGACCTCCATTATTTGAATGTCAGCAGACAGCAAGAAGCCTCCCAGATCTCCAGATGCATTTGAGATATCAAAAAAGTACTCCAGAGTTTTGTTCAGCATGGGGGTGAGTAGAAAATGAAGGCTAATCATGTTTTGGGTGTACTATTCCTTTAAGTCCAGGAAGGCAGGATAAACCAGAGAGCGAAGCCAAAGCTGATTTTGAAGACGTGCTCAGGAGTCAGAGCCAGTAGATCAGAGGTCTGAAGAGATCGCAAATGGAAATCCAGGATGGTGTCAGGAAACTGTTCCAGGTTCGGTCCACAGACAGACAAGATCCGGCAGGAGTCCGAAGACAGTTCAGGCAAACAGATCGTAATGGGTACAGGCAGGCTCAGTGATCCAGAGGAGGAACAGGTCAGGATTAGACAATCAGACACACTCAGGAACGCTACAGAACTCTCATCAAAGGTTTAAAAATCTGGCACTAATTTCCTGTGAAAGTAAATCTGTTATACATCACCGGGAAAGAAATTTTTAGTGCTACATTGACAGAGATTTAATGTTAAAGACAAATAGATAGATAGACAGATAGGTAGACATGTTTATAGAATCCATTATAAACCCATATTAAAATCAACAGGGCTTGCCCAAAGTTTAAAAAGGCCATACATGGAAGCATCCATCAAATATATCTTTGCAATTAATATAGAATTTGGATTTTGAGCTGAGGTTTAAATATAAAGAACAGAGTAAACTGTTAGTTTTTGGGTTTTTACTATGGCAATACAACAATCTGCACTTTCACAAAATAAACTAGCTAATTCCCATTTTTGAACTTTTCTGAATCGTAAAATCACATTAAATCTAATTCTCATTCACACTTAAAATGCAGGATTCCTGGGGAGGCTTCTGATGGTCTTACTATAGGGCCCTAAGCAGTCGGTTTGATTAATTATGCCCTGCACCGGCTCTGAGTATCTACTAATTATTATCATTTTCATCTGAAATACGTAACATTTACTGAATGTCGGCACTTAAGCAACATTGTACCAGCAAACATTTTTAACTTTTTTTCTTTAAATACAACAAAGCATTCAAAAAGCTCAAACACAGCCTACTGTCTAGCAGCAACTCTCAGTGGTAGCAAGGAAATGGTGAAGCTTTACTGATCTCCCTTTCATTTATAATTCATCCTACAGCTCCTCCTACCCTTTTCTTCAGTTTCTCTGCACAGAAGCCTTCTTCTGAATCTGCAACTCCAGGTGTTGCTCTGCAAAACAAATTTAAAGAGATTAAACATTGTAGTCATCCCATTATATTTCTACATTTTTTTTAATTTTATTTGACCTTCTACTCTAATTAGTTTCAGGAGCAGTTATGGGAAAATTTGAGGAGTTAAATCCATGGAGGAATTACTTATTATTTGAATTATTTTATAATATGTGATACCTGAAGTGACCTCATTATAATTAGAATCAACTGTATTGAGCCATGATTATGTGGATAATTAAGCAAATTGACCTTAGTTTCAACACTGAAAGCCTACAGACATAAATATCAACATTAGTATATACATGATTTTTCTATAATGTGTTTTGCAAAAAGGGGTTTGGTTATTTAATTCAAATCGAAGTGCTCTTAGTCTGTCAAGTCTTGTGAGTTCCAGTCTAGTATGATGGCCAATATGGTAATGGTATAACAACAGTAGAGGAAAGGGTGATTTGAGTTCATGCATGTCAAAACAACAAACTCTGGACACATATGGAATTTCAGTTCAATTCAGTTTATTTATATAGCGCCAAATTCACAAAACATGTAATCTCAAGGCACTTTACAGTTCAACCAGATCATACAGTCAAATTGATACAAAGTTTTCTATCTAAGGAAAACCAGTAGATTGCATTGACTCATTGACTCAAATACAATCCCTCACACTAAGCATGCTTGTAGCGACAGTGGAGAGGAAAAACTCCCAGTAAGGAATAAATCACAGTAACTTATCAACAAAACATAAAAACTTCTTCAAAGAAATATTTCAACTCAGAGTTAAACACATTTCACACAATTACTCTTTCTGCAATGCTCTTCGCACTGATGGCTTTCTTAATTGCTCATTTCAATCGACTGTCTAACTCTGCCCACTTTTTAAGTTATCCCACTGTGTGTCTTGCCTGAATACTGGTTCCTCTGTTCTGAGTCGTGACAGAATAATCTGGCCCACTAGAGGGCTCTGGCTCAGGGATTGGCCCGCTAAAGGCTAAAGTGTTTATTTAAGCGACGAGCTGCATATTGGCAGTAGCAGTGGGAAGGGTGTCTAAGGCAGGAACCAAGTTTTACAATTCAATCCGTGCCTAGAGAACAAGGATAATTTCAGTCGGTCGGCTGACAAGATGGGGTGTACACTGCCAGAGGGTTCCAGAAACTGAAGCCTAGAAGGCTGCAGAATTGGCAGGAAATAAGATTCAAACAGACAAAGGAACAAGTCAGGAGGCAGATCCATGTTCAATCAAAAGCAGAATCCAGCAGATGAAAACAAGTCAGGCAAACAGATCAGGACAGGGACAGCCAGACTCAAAGATCCAAAAGCAAAATAGGCCAGGAACAGACAATCAGAACACAATAAGTCACGCTACAAAAACTGAAAATGTTCAGAAATTATCTGGCACTGATGGCTGGGTCCAAGCAGCTTAAATAGAGGCAAGAGCAGGTGGATCAGATGAGCAGTAATGAGAAACCGGGCAGAGTTACACAGGTAAATTAAATGAGCAATTAACTAGCCATCAGCGTCAAGATCATGACTCTTTAGTTTTATTTTAGCTAGTTAAGCCTACGGTAAATAAAACTGTTATTTAACAATAAAAGAATAAATTAAACAAATAAAATTGTACAAAAAAGAGGAGGGGAGGACAAATAAAAAAGGTCAAAACAGCATTACACATAATACT